GCAGGTACCACGCTTCTTCGAAGAATGACGAAAGATTGAATAATGGGTGCCTGCCAACTACACAATAATTACTGGCGTGGTGGGTACCCTGCAAGTGTGCTTGCAGCAGCTTCCCAAAAAGTGTAAAAAAAAAAAGCTCTCGAAGGCCGCTTTTCCAGCTCTCGCTGTGACAGTGCTGCGTGTTCCGCGCTGGCCTCGCTGTTATTTCTTTTTTGCTGTTCAAACGCACATTGGAATTGGATGTGATCCTTGTTCAGTTTAAGCAAGCATGTTTGGAGGCACATCAATAAATGCTCAACCTTCTCACAGTGAAGCTCTTCGGCAGATCGTTCATTGTATCTTGCATCACGAAACTATCCTCAACGGGTGTGTGCCGCAGAAATCGGTTACACCCCACTGCTCATGACTGGTCCACTAAAAACTAAAAAAGCCGTCGTCAAGCACCATAATGAATTTACTTATTCATTCATTCATTCATTTATCTAACAAACGGGTATGTGCCACTGCTCGGCCTGTGTCCAAAACCATCATCATTATGAACAGGTATATGTGCCGCAGAAATTGGGTAAATCGCAATTCTCACGCCTGGTCCTATAAAACTGAAGAAGGCAGCAGTGAGGCTCACTAAAAGCTGTGAAGCACCTACAGACACCAAGTACAAACAACGAGAGAATACTCGCGAACGGGAAAGGCAACGGCGACTGCGAGAAAACCCTCGAAGCGAAGGAAGGTCCACGCCAACGACGACGTACTCTTAGGTCTATCTGAGGTGCGAACGCTTAATTTAAGCGGCCGGTAAAGTCTCATGCTGAAACGTTCGGACATCCGTGTGATGTCTGTGACTGTTTGTTGTTTACCTCGAACCTCTCAGCGCTGAAAATCAGCGTAGAAACAGCCTGGCATCCCAGAACTAAAATTAACAGCGCAAACATAAAACACGCCCAGCAGAGAAAAGAAACGACGCACACGAGCGCCGACTATCAACTGCTTTATTTCTTCATTTGAGAATGTATATTTATGTCCAAGCCAGCCTTACCACGCATGCGTGCACGTCAAGTTTTAAACAAGTGAAACAGTGGAACAGCATCACCAGGCTAAGGGCTATAGCAACCAGCTACAAGCAACCTTCAAACAACCTTCAGCGCCTAGCTAAGGCTTAGAACCAACCTAGAAGCAGCCATATTCGTCTTCAGAATTGCACAGTTTCTTTCAAGCCTTTCGCTGCTCAGTGCAAGCATCGCTCTTTTGTTTACGTGTTTTATTGGTAGTCCCAAATGCAGCACCTTGTATTACGATTTATATCTATTATGACCATTTTTACACACAGGGCTACTGCAATGTTAATAATCAATGGTTATTCTACTCTGTAAAGGACTAGTTGTGTAGTACAAGACACCGGAGTTAAGCAGTGGGGCTTACCGAATTTCTGCGACAACTACATCCATAACGCAGGCATGACCTGGGCTCTGAACGGAGTTAAGATTGGGAACTGCAGGGACTGTAAATTAAATAGGATCGTGTAGAAGAGGGTGTATTGAAAATCATTGGGAGGGGCCGCCAGTGCTGCAATAGGTATAACACAGTCCGATGATAGTAATGATGGTAATGCTCATGATTGTGGTGATCATAACGATGGCGATGCAATAGCTTTCTCCTTTTTAGCGGCAATTTTTATGCGCCGGCACACTGGAATCATCACCTTTTTCAGCCGTCGAAACCAACATGAGGTGAAACTGCAATAAATTCACCTTATATAAAAATACATTTTTTGTGTTACTCGTGAACTGTGTAAGAGGAGTATTACCCTGAACATCTATGTGGATGATGATCATAAAAAATTATCACTCCAAAAGAGGGGACCGGCCGAGAGGTCGGTTACGCTGTTTAGAGGAGATCAGCGGGGATCCCATGGAACACCGCGGCCTCTAATGCGCGTGGAGTCTTGCCAACGAGGCTTCATTGTGCTTTGAACTTGCGTTGCTCGATGTATTCACAGAAATTGCTACGATGAGAAGACCTCAGCGGTGACTATACGTATCTGTGTGCATTAATTAACATATATACTTATCTTGTTTAACTTGTCTGTCATCAACATGGCCACATGGGCGAGGCAGTGTAATCACTCTTTAGAGGTTTTTGAGCACTCGTACTCGGTAAAAGAAACAAACGCTTGGAGGAAATACGCTCACTTGCAACTGTGAGCGTCTGTTTGGCCGATGTCTGTTTTCTTTAATCAGCGTCAGTGCTCATCTACATTGGCGAATCGCTATAACTATACCTACAACCACTGCTTTTTCTGCATATTTCATTCTCCTCTCACCTTCGCGAAAAAAATATATCTGCCGACAATAAAGCAACAACCACTGCGTTTTACTACCACTCCTATTAGCTTGCTAAGTGACAACAATAGGCTTTTGGCTGTGAAGACCACTTTTTAAAGTATAATTTTCGCTTAACCCCCACTGGTGTAAACAATCCAACACGCAAAGTTGCTATGGGCTCTTTATGACATGCCTGTCTGCGTGATGTTTCTATCCCCGTACAACAACACCAAAACAATGTCAATCTACGTTTTGAACTTCGTTATACATCTTTGGAGCAACGTTTAAATGAAAATTAGTAGCCTTGGTGATTTAGTATAACATCACGTCCGAAACTAATAATCAATAATTTATTTAAATATTTTATTTATTTAATATACCTAAAAGACCCCTGCAGGGGTTTTACATGAGGGGTGGGCATTTAATGTGAGCAATGTCATTGGTGGCCAGTAAAGTTTTTAGTACATAATGTCTTCGATTGCTCGTAAAAGTGAATGGGGCTGGAGATGACAACGGCGTCGTTTGGCAGATCATTCCAGTCTTTCGCTGTTTGGACAAAAAAAAGAATGCTGATGGACAGAGGTGAGGGTCTTTCCTGGGTAAACAGCCAATGGGTGGTTGATTCAGTCAGAGTGACGATGAACTTCTTCAATGACTGTCGTAGCAATGCGTAAATGATAAAATTTATTAAAAAAGCAAAGCCGCTTAACTTTGTCTTGTTACGAGCAGAGGAAAATTATCTTGGCTTTTTAGTTTAGTGACGCTTGTGTGGTAGGAATAGGCCAAATAAATAAACCTTGCCGCACGGTCTTGCACAGATTCAAGTGTATTAGATAAGTTAGAGGAGTGGGGATCCCAGATCGCACATGCGTGCTCAAGTTTAGGTCGGACCAATGTTTGATATGCGAGAAATTTGCCAGGTGAAGAACAAAAACGTAAATTACGGCGCAGATACCTCAGAACGCAATTAGCATCGTTGGTCACATTCGAAATGTGAGTTGACCAAGTCAGATCCTGGGTTAAGGAAACAACCAGATATTTATAGATTTGAACAGATGAAACGTTAGAACTGCCAATTATGTAGCGATGCGGGACGTATGTCGTTGTGCGGTGGAAAGACACTAATGAGGTTTTGGAGACATCAAGAGACATTAGCCATGTATCACACCAATTCCTAATAATACTAAGGTCACACTGGAGAATTAAATTGTCGTTACAAGTGTAAATGAGACGATATAAGAAGCAATCATCAGCAAATAGGCGTATGTTAGATTGAATATTAGTTGGCAAGTCATTAATGTGAACTATAAATAGTAAGGGCCCTAAAACTGTTCCTTGAGGCACTCCTTGGAGAACGGGAGATAATCTAGAAGAGTGCGAGTTAGCGAATACAAATTGCTTACGGTTAGTTAAGAAATTTTGTAAACAAGTCAATACAACGTGATCAAGGTTTAGACAAGATAGCTTCAGAAATAATCTGTTATGTGGAACCTTGTCAAATGCTTTCTCAAAATCAAGAAATAGGGAATCTACAGGAACATTTTTATCGAGGCTGGTACTGACGTCGTTAATAAATAAGGCTAACTGAGTGTCGCACGAGAGTCCTTTTAGGAAGCCATGTTGATTGGGGTGGGAAAAGTGTTGGGACATTAGGAATTTGGTTACGTGGTAATAAATAACATGTTATATAATTTACATGTATGCTGGTGAGTGAGATTGGACGGCAACTACTCTGAGCTGATGAATTACCTTTTTTTTTTGGTACTGGAATAATCTTTAGCCACCTTTCAGTCCTCTGGGACCACTCCAGATGATAGTGATTGCTGGAAAATGAGCGAAAGTATTGCACTAGATATGTGTTTAGTATTTTTTAAGATTTTGAATTGATGCGTCAACGCCCCATTATGAAGTGAGTTTCAGTGATTCAATCAATTTCATTATGCCATTAGCTTCAAAGGTAATTCCGGAACATGACGGGGTGATTGTAAAGAGGAAATTGGGTAATACTATATCGGGTTCTTTGGTGAACCCCGAGCCAAAGGCACAGTTTAATTTTTGGGCTACATCAAAAGCTGGAATAGGACAGTTGCGTTCGTCACGCAAGCTGACCGGTTTTGAATGATTCGGGTTAATTATTTTCGAGAACTGTTTAGGGTTATTCTGTAGAATACTAGGCAGGGACGTGTTATAGAAAGATCGTTTAGCTTTAGCCGAAAGCGAGAGGTAAAGTTTCTCAGATTGGTGATACCTATCCCAAGCACTAGCACTATTTTTGAGCTTTGCTGTTTTATATTGGCGTTTCTTTTTGTTCTTGAGGCGTTTAAGCGAATTATTAAACCAAGTGTTAGCTAGTCGTTCAGCTACAGAAAAAGTGGGAGCGTATCTTTCTATCAGAGTCTGCATTTTATTCTTAAAAAGGTAACCAGTTACTGCCAACCTGAAGGATCAAAAAAGTTAGGCGAAAATTCTTCATAAAAAGTTTAAGGTTGGCATTCATGCTACAGTAATCGCCTTTATCCGTACAGCGTTATCGTTTTTTTTTTATTCGCGGCTGGGCTGGCACATGGCCTTCAACTGAAACGTGGATATTGAGTGGTCAGATAGCCCGGGAATGATAATAGTGATAGTGCGAAGAATGACGTGACCATTTAATTGAGAGCTTGAAAAATGAAGCGAGCGTTAAGACGTCCATATGGTGCACTTCTGATTCGGGTTCATGGGCGAGTCGCTGGCGCATTCCCAGAAAGTGGGAAACCTGAACGAGTTCCTCAGGGGTCCGTTGGCACGGTCTGGCGGTGGCCGGAACATTGACTCCTCGGCCAGTTCCCGGCGCCTGTCCGCGTCTGTCGTTTCGCAGAGACCCTTGGTGTAGAGAATGTAGAAAAGCTGCTTTACAGTGATGTTCAGGCCTGTGAGCAAGCCGTAGTCTTCGATGTTCACCTGCGACAAAGAACAAGAACAAGAAAACAGCGTGTTTCTAACCCACCATACTCGGCGACGAGTTATTTTGACATTGGAACGAAATATATGGAAGTGAGACCCTTCTGCACATTCGTGCAGCCTCGCAAGTGGTGCGGAAGTTTGCGAATGACTCCTGTATTGCTCGCTGGCAACGTCAATGCGTTCGGAGAATGACATACACAAAAATATGAATGAGAAATTCATTTCGGTAGTTCAGAGTACATTTTAGTGTCATTTTATGAACGTATTTTTCTTGAAGAACCAAACAGTGTGTTTGCGCCCGCACACTGACTACACTACATCATACACACTATGTTTACTTTGCAAAACTTAAGCACTGAAAAGGTGGTGCTGTCTAATAAACGGAAAGCAAAGGAAGGTTTTTTTTTTTTTCAAAGTAAACACTAAGTTTATTTTACATACTTCACGCTAATGTTTGAGTCTCATAATAAAAATTGGCGTTTATTTCAGCGCGATAAAATGGAAAATTACAGCAGAAACTACAGTGACTCTATGGCGTGCTCCACTTTTAAGGACGCGTTATCATCGAGCAAGGGGCCCGAGTTGAACGGAGCTTTAAGTCGAGCAATGTGCTGCTTCGCATGCTACTCATATGGTTCCCTTGTGCACTGCTTGTAGCTTTCGTTCCTCTAGCATATGTTCACACATATAAAAAAATCCCCTAAGTTACATTTCGCGAACAATGTCGGAATGGCAAAGCTTATGACCGTCCTTCAACATGCTGTACTGTGCTTGTACTTCTTTCTAGATTCCGTTTGTTGGTGCCTAGCTCCAGCATCTCTTGCATGAACAACGCGGTTGCCTCGGCGACGACATAAGTGATAAGGCTGCTTCTGCATCAAAAGAATAAGAAATGTCCACCATCCTGAAAGCCCAAGCATCGAAACATTGCCACTGACACGCTATATTACGCTCTACTGCGTCTATCTTTCACCTGGCGCGTTTCTACAAAGTTCCTCCATCGACATCCTTGGCCCTCGTCCTCGCCTCTCATATCCTACAATTGCCTCTCTGCACGGGTTGGCTTCCTATTTAAAATGCGAAGCATTTCTTAGCGAACTTCGGCGGCTTTTAGCGAATCTATCTATCTATCTATCTATCTACCTATCTATCTATCTATCTATCTATCTATCTATCTATCTATCTATCTATCTATCTATCTATCTATCTATCTATCTATCTATCTATTTATACATCTATCTATCTATCTTTCTATTTATCCATCTATATATCTCTTTGTATTTATTTATTCATTTACAAAATACTGTCAACCCTCCTTGAGGGTTATTACAGGAGTGGAAAAGATACAAACTTTTTTACAAGCAAGGCAATGCAGTGGCAATACAAGAAAAGTACATAAAAAACGAACACAAGAGTAATGACATCATGAAGTGCAAGCATCGCGATCATGGTAATAACTAATGCATACATCATACAGGCATAGCAATACATTGCCTACAACCAAATGATAAAAAAATAACATAAATTGTTAGATTCTGGATGCTTTCACCCATATGCTATTAGGTAAGCACACAGAACTTGGGAGGACCGACATGAGATTTCCAACTCTTTCTAGAAATTTTCGAATTGTTGGCTGTGCTACAGTAGCTGAATCAAGCGCATTCCACTCTTTTATTACGCGAGGGAAAAATTAAAACCTAAAGGTATTGATTGTTACGGCAGAAATATTCTTGAAAGATCAGGTCGTGTTTTTGGCGCACTTTCCCTTTTGCTTTTATAGTAGTGAAGGCGGAGGCATTAGTTTTAAAGTGGCCGTTGAGCAGTTGGTAAAAGAACTTCAACCGATGTACTTTTTCTCTATCGCAGAGCGTAGGTAGATCTGCTTGGAGCAGAAGCTCGGAAGGTGAATCCGTTCGCTTATAGCGGTTAAAGATAAATCTTACCGCCTTGCGCTGCACGCTCTCGAGCAAAGCTATGTCAGTATTTGTTGAAGGAAACCACACTATATTCGCATATTCTAGCATAGGTCTTATGAAAGATATGTAGGATAAGCGCTTCGTATCTGTGGTAGCGTAGCGTAGGGTCCGTTTTAGAAAAAACAACTTGTTCATTGCCTTTTTCGTCACTTGTTGTACACGCGCAGTCCATTTGAGGTCAGATGATATTAGGAGCCCTAAATATTTATACTGGGTTGCTGTGCGAGTGGTGACACCATTAAGCGAGTAAGGAAATAATAGTTTGCTTTTCCTTCTGCTTACGTTCATCGCGACCATTTTTTTTTTTCAGAATTAATAACCATCGGCCGATCTTGGCACCACTGGGCTACGTTATTTAGGGCTTTGTTAAGGGCAACCTGATCGTCAATGTGTTTGATTTCACTGTAAATCATGCAGTCATCTGCAAACTGTCTAACTTTAACGTTTACTGATTCAACAATGTCATCAATGAATGACTATGTGATCTATCTACGCATACGGCTTTTACCTCTCTTGGTCGTCTCGACAATGGTATCGATACCAAAATCGGTACGGCATAACATGAGTGTATGACAAACATAACTGATTAGTCATAACATCCAAATTATAAATTGTATTATATGAATGTCATGATATACATTTCATGGTCTTGCTGCCCTTGTGGTGGTTTCGTTCACATGACACTTTGCGAAACTGATATCTTATGACATGACTGCATGGCATTCATTTCATTTCATTTATTGATACTGTCAGCCCTTTGCGGGCTATTAGAGGAGTGGAGTTGACTCATATAAAACAGAAATGTGCATAAGAGAAACATAAGAAAAAGAACCTTCACTACTGGAACAAATCATTTCAGAGCACATACAACAAATATATCATAATGGCTAAGCATATAGTTTACAGAGAACTTAGTGAAAAATAAGAAAAGAGAGCATCACTGCCGATATACACATCATATTTTGCGCATAATAAAACACATAATAAATATCATAGCCTAGTTACAAAGCCCGTAATTCACACATATTCACAATCTTAGCGTGTTAGTTATGGCAAACATAACTGACAGACCTTAACGTGAAAATCATGACATGGATGTCATGCTTTTTATGTTCTGACTAGTCATGACTACATATGCACGCCTGCTCATGGTTCGCTCACGGTCTTTTCGCTAGTTTCACATATACCCCATTCGGTATAACGGGACGTGAATAAATGATGAAGGCACGTGACTGGTGCAAACATCACGTGCCTTTATCATGTAAGAAGATAATGTGTCATGTAAGAACATGACAACATACTACGCTCGTGATGCGCTTGGGGCCCTTTCGCTAGCTTTACATATGCCAAATTTAGTATTACGTAACGTCAATGGATGCCGAAGGTAAACGACTCATCCAAACATGAGAATCATGACTTGAGTGGCATGTTAGAACATGACTACATACTGCACTCATGATGCGCTCACAGCCCTTTCGCCAGCTTCACATGTACCAAATTTGGTATTACGTAACATGAACGAACGATGAAGGTAAATGACACGTCCAAACATGGGAATCAACGTACGCGTGTCATGTAAAACATGACTAAATGCTATGCTCATAGCACGCTAGTAGCCGTTTCGCTAGCTCTACTTATACCAAATTTGGTCTCAGGTGAGTGAATGGACGACAAAAGTAAATGACATGTCCAAACATGATAATAATCATCATATGCGTGACATATGTAAATCATGATTACATGCTGCGCTCATAGCGTACTCGCGGCCGTCTCGCAAGGTCTATATTTACCAAATTTCGCTTGACGTGAATCGACGACTAAGGTAAATGACACGTCCAAACATGATCGTGACATGCGTGTGGTGTAAAACATAACTACATGCTAAGCTCATAGCGTGCTCGCGGCCGTTTTGCTGGCTCCAGATATCGCGTCACGTGATACTAAAATTGGTATCACATGACGTGAATAGACGACGAAGGTAAATGACATGCAAACATGATAATCATGTGATGGAAGTCATGTACGGCATAATTTAAGTCCGCCTCGTAACTTTATACTGACAATAAAGTGCCATATAACAGCTTTCCTCATTCATGCTTCGCATACTATCGATTCTCACAGAACGTGTAATCGGCCTTTTTTTTTTTTCTAAGGCTCACTGTCTCCACACTACTCAGCCTCGTGATGAGCTCTACGCCTACCATGGAGAAAGGAAAAACTTGACGCCGACAGCGGACATGAAGACCTTAAGAAATGGCTTCGCTGTTAAATGTTCCTTATAATACACCGGCCAACTGCCGCCGTCTTCAACGTCACGACCCCGTGAAGCTATATTTATTACAGGATGAAGGAGTCTTGCTCAAAGCAGCAGCGCCACAGAAGTGACAGTCTTTGGCTCTATTGATCATTACAGTGAAGGTGATGCTAGCTAATGAATATTCTGTAATCTCTATATCATATCTATTTAAAAGTTGTTGACGACGCGTCACCTTAACTGTCTGTATTATCTCTCCTATATTTCAACCTGCAGTTACGAAATATTCAGTATGTTCCACTTGTTGAGCTTCGCTTGCCCGAGTGGAACGCGATAGCTTAACCGGGGCCCGCGCACATCACCTATTCAGTTTCTAGCCTCTCTTCGCTTCTCGGTGCATGCCTCAATGTCCGCAAAAACAAAACAAAAAAACGAACTTAATGGCGCGTAACATCAGCTGTTTCACATCATTATAGAAAGCCTGCTGCAAGTACAGTTTCGGTGTGCCCACTATACGCCATAATTCTTCTCTTTTCGAATCAATGCAGTGCCAGTACACGTCCGCAAGGCAACACGCAAGTCTACGCAGCTTCTCACTTTGTTAATGTTTTTGCTACTAATGATGATTGAATAAGTGTGATAAGTTTGTAAGAGGTGGGCCTTTGGAACACTCACTTGTTGCGCAACTGACGTGCTTTTACACCAGGCCCGATTTTACGCTGCTGCCACGCAATGTTACGTTCGTTGATACACGGCCTAATACTAATATAACTGATTGGGGTCGAACATTCCAAAACTACGATATCATATGACATACACTGAAGTGAAGGGCTGTGAAAGTATTGACCACCGGGGATTTCGAAACGTGCACCCCAAGTACACGGGGCTCGAGCATTTCTGCCTCCACCGAAAATGCTGCCACCACAGCCGTAATTTGCTCCCGCAACCTCCGGTTCAGCAGTCGAGCATCGTAACGACAAGACCATCATTCCGGGAGCATTACATGACAATACTACATGGCATTCATACAGAGCTTTCAGATGCGTAGCAGCTCTTTGAGTAGCCTGTGAAACGCTGTATTTTCGTCCGCACCGCTCCCTCGCCGCAGGTGTTGCAGCGGAGCCGAGTAGCTCACGTCATCCTAGCAGTGCGTGGCGACGTCTCTCTTTCTCTCGCCTGCCGCGCGCTCACCGCGTGTCAGCTCTATCTCCCGCTGCAACCTCTCCATCGCTCGCAACGCTCGGGCCTGCTCCTCACGTGGGCATCATCTCACCCTCGCCACTTCTCTCCATCTGTCGGCAAGAAGAAGCCGCATGCCAGCGGGTGCGCGCTCTGCACGCGCGTCGGAAACCTCGCGATTTGCTCGAAGAATTTCAAGCTGGACGGTCGTGCCCTCGCGATCTCCGACGACAGCGTAGCTCCCGCCGACTGGTTCGCCCTCCGCGGTCTCCTGACGCCGTGCAACTCTCTCATTGTGGTACCCCGCCCTTTGACTGCTTCGACCGGATCCCCACTTTCCTATCTCCTATTTTCTGTCGCTTGCTTCTCTATTTCTTCATCTATTTCCTTGTATTCTTTTTATCCCTCCTTCCCCCACCCCATAATGCACTGCGCCGTGTCGCCTATAGGCAGACAGAAATTAGGTGCCTTCTTCCTTTTCCTTACTAACCACTAACCAACCAAATCTCGCCACGCCGACAATGTGGACAGCGCGCACGCCGCGCGCCTCTGCTTGTCGCGCGATCACACCGACAGGCGGCACGCCGTCGTGGCATGCTTCCCGCTAGTGTGCGCGTACCTTTCCCGGCTGTCGCGGCATTACGAGGGTTCGCGAAGCCTATCGCGTTCATGAAATGTGACGTCAACACCAACGAGGCGCTAGAGGGAAGCCGAACGCAAGCGTCCGCAGTGGAAGACTAGTGACAGCGACGAGGTGCGAATCAGGAACCTCGGTCGCGTTCGAGAATGCAGACGGTGTGCGGGTAACATCGACGAGACGCGAGCCAAGGAGGCCGAGCGCAAGCGTCTTCAACGCGTCCCGCCTCCCATGTCTTTGCGTTTGGAACAAACGTTTAATCGGGTAAATGCTACACCAAGTTTCGCTTCAAACCGTTTTTCTAGCACGCACGTGGATGCCCGTTTCATCCGGGTCAACACCATGTGCACCACTGCTGCTTCGCATCTTATCAGGGTTTCCTTCGGAGAGATGGCCCATAGCTTTTTTGGAAGATATTTTAAGTCATAGCACGGCTCTGTGGTAAAACACCTTCTTGCTAAGCCCAAAGTTTGGGTTCATTTCTCAGTCGAACCAAAGATTCTTAGTCCTTTTCTTTCGCATCTTCCTCGAATTTTCGGTCATGGACAATGCTGAAGTTTTGTTTACGTCCAATGACGCTGACACTCGAGTTTCTGCAAAACCAGCTGTCTAAAAGTGCTTCACACTTGGCCTCGAAGGCAGTTAAGCGGCATAACACACTGCAAATTCACTCCCTTCGCCACCTAAGCGGCCGGAAAACCACGCCGCGAAACTAGAGTGAAAAAAATCAGTCAGAGACCAATTTTTCCGCCACGCGACAGCAGATTGCCTTTCCGCTTCACGGCTTTGGCTCCACTAGCTCAAACCACGTGATATAAACATCCGGCCGGAATATAAACGTAGCGGCTAAGGCGACGCTGGTGGCTCGCATTGGTGCAATTGCAGACTACCCATAGAGCACGACAAAGCTCCCGGCCTCGACAAGGACGTGTTCATTGACAGCCTGGTCAGGGTTACGATAGCCGAGAACACTGGAAGTAGAAGGTGCTGCAGCAGCGAGTCAGCATGCCCTAATGTGTCTCGCTTTTGCACAGCTGGCTGATGCCGCTGCTGCCGCTGCCAGGGTGTTTGCTCAGATGGTTTTTGCTGCGTATCTTCCCGAAACAACGTTCCAAAAGGTTCAAGGTGTTTAATTTCAGTGCTTTTCACTCATAACTAGAATTCGGTATGAAACTTAGCGCTGAGGAAATGGGCAAAATGGAATGAATTCTCAGTGGAAAAGGCAGCGGTGTTGGTGGCATGTAACGGCAGAATGAAAGTGGACGTTTCCGACCTGCAGGGACGTGATTTTCCGGTCTATCTAGCGTTTTCAGTTTTCTCTTTGCTTCCGAAGTCTGAATGTGGCATAACAGCATTATATTACCAGGGGTAGTAGATTCGCATTTCATTCGGTTCTAAAACTTACTATTCACGCAAGCCTAACCATTACTCAAATATAAATAGAGTAGCAGCATTAGAGGCAGAGTAAATCGAATTCAGTAGCCTAGCCCGACCGATGACTCTAAATACGGTAAGCGGATGGCTCTCACTTCTTCAGGCAGCCATCATCTTGCCCTATACGTATGCGGAATCATGCGCCTGTCTTAGCGGTGCACGCCTTAGGCCGAAAAAAAAACGCAGGTGCGTAAGAGTTCGTGTTGTGCAGACGTATTGCTTGCGTTTGCTGCTTTCCGCTATACTAAAGCTCTCAAATTACACTCAGTGCTGCTACCGCTTGCATATGCCCCAACAATGATGGCGTTCAGTATAACACAATAAAACATCGCGCCCGAACAACGCGACTGATTATTTTTGTTCCCACTCGAAGTCTCGTTCAGTGGCCCACAGGTAGTGGGGTCTCACCTTGTTTACGTGCTTCAGGAAAAGCTTGAAGGCTGGTAGCAGCGACAAGCTCTCCAGAACATCGAACTGCGTTGTCTTTTCTGTGCGCAACCTGACGCCGCCGGGCATTGAGGACGCTGCGTCTGCGTCTGAACCCGCGTAGTTTCGTTGCAGGCATTTCTGCACGTCGTGGTAGCCCAGCTCGGTGTCCACCGACCAGTGCAACTTGCTTTGTGGGAAGTTGCCGTAGTGGATGCCGGCGAAGAGCGCCCCGATCACTTTGGTCGCCACTCTGGGAAGCTGCGAATGCGTGTATGTGGTAGACCGATTAATTGTTCGATTTTTATTGATTAACTATAACTTGATGAATCAATTCGTAAACAATTATTTAAATATTGATTGATTGATTGATTGATTGATTGATTGATTGATTGATTGATTCTCTTGAAAGCTTATTGACAAATAAATGCTGCAGAATTTCTTCCGGTATATACATCTGCGCCCACCGTGGTGGTCAAGTTGTTATGACGCTCGACTGCATGCTGACCTACAAGTCGCGGGATAAAATCTCGGCCGCGGCAGCCGCCCTTTACATGGAGGCGATCATGTTTCAGTCCCGTGTGCTTGCATTTCAGTGAGCTTTAAAGAACTCCGGGTAGTTGAAATTTCCGAAATTCTCCCCAATGCTAAGTACGTTATTCGTAGTTTTGGGGTGTTAACCTCCGAGCGACTGTTACTGTGTGCATCTGTCAGTTGCAGCAGTGTCTTGGTGCCAGGAAGAAAAAAAACACAGCCTCACGAAGCAATTTTTAATAGTTTGAGCTGCATACACCGACAAATACTGGGTGGGTTTGAGCGAGAATTTCGATGTTTGCTTTTCGGGCTGTTCTGAGGAACTAAGAAACACAAGCTCCGAAACATACTTCTAAAGCATCGCCGTGTGAAGTACAAATTAGGGTGTTTTTACGAGCCGAAACAGTCACAGTGATTACGACGTTTGCCAGTGGGAGAAAAGTGGATTAATTTTGACCTGGACGGCTCGCTCAACCTAGGCCTAAATTTAATACATGGGAATGCTTGCGTTTCACCCAGGTCTAATTGCGGCAGTCACGGCTGAAAATCAAATCCACTTCCACAAACGCAAGTACACTATAGCGTCAACTTGTCTGTACGCAGCGTGCTTATAGATCCCTCTCCCTGTCGCGACAATGTGCATCCAGCATTTAAGCATCGAGACAAAATAAAAACAGTATGGATAATGGTTTCTTGATAGCCAATCGCTTAATGCGTTGCAGCGCAGCCGGGGCCCTAGTTGCTAGTCTGGCTACATGGCGAGGCTGCAAAGTACTCATTGCTGACAATTTTTTATTTGGAGCAGTGAATAGCTTTTCGAATCTTATCGTTCTGAAAAAATTCTACTTCTTCAATATCGACAGCTGTAATACATCATGTGTATTTTCTTGTTCATTGTTGGCACATAGAGCACCTGCAAATGCCCGTTTCGAGTATATTTACATAATTTTCTCGCGTTCTATATTTAAAGGGTATAATTGATGTTATTATAAACAGAATATATGTTCTGAAGATCTTCATGAATACCTCTACCGCTCATGACGATCAGCGCAAAAAAAGAATACCCTATTTAGCCCTTTTGCCGTGTCTTCCTTGTTTTGGTGTTCTTTTTTTTTTGCGCTGAGTGTCTTGAGTGTGTTCCAAATAGCCCAAATTGTAAATTACTTGATCTATACTGCTTTAACTGACCTCAATAGACTCTTGCCCGTCCATTAAGCTACTATCACTATTTACCTCTCATCATTCCTGAAACCTTGATAAGCTCGAAAAAAAGCTATAACTCAAAATAAATAATTAAGGGAAAGTAGAGGAAAAGAAAAAAAAAGCATATGTTGTCAATCCTTTCGTAGGGCTTCACGACAAGAAAGTTCGCCCTGTGCATACGAACATTTGGGCACTGCCACTCTTTATTTATTGTTAATGTGCGCGCTTTCCGAATTTTTTAATATAAATAATGCGTTGTCTTGCTGTATATGAAGACCGCCTACTAAACTTCGAAGTTGCGAGTAAGCACCCGGCCTTCGCACTTGATTTGTTATGTCTTTTTTTGGGATGAACATGTTTCATAGATGAATGCATATGCGCTAAGTTATTACCATCGCTAGCTTCATCCGCTTGACTTTTCTTTTTCTGCAATTCCGACACACCAACGATTATCTGTTTATTGATTTTCATACCCTGTTTGTTGCCATCCGATTTTCACCATTCTATTACCTCCTTTGTACGTTACGTCTACAGAGTTTTCTTTCACCCACTGTCAGTGTGGACGTTATATTCTTGGCAAACCATTTAATTAGCCTCCGAGATTTTTATCGGTACCAGTAGTATCAGAAGCAGCATGTATCGCATACAGTCAGCCTAGTAGAAAGTCATCAGTCGTGGCTTGAGGAAAACCATTGAATGCATTTCTATGTGTTTTGTCTAGCGATAGCCTTGCTTAGAATGATCAGTGTCACTGAGTAGCGTAGGCCTCATCTTTCTTGACTATTGCTTTTTTATTTCTGTCATGGTATGTTCTGATACTTAACAACCAAGTATGTCTCAATGCTATAAAATACGCTATTGCTTCAGCTCGTGTTGTGTACAAAATTTCACCAAGCTCTACCTATCGAGCTGTTATCAGCATAGAGACCAAAATTAAAGTAATCAAGGCGGCGGTGATTGCACATCAAACTAGCTCTGTCAATATATCCTAGCTAGTTAGGTGGTCTTGGTATCTTAGTTGTCTAAGAAAAAAACTGTATACTCCCCTTTCGCTACTTTTTTTTTTTGCGAGAGCTGCAACAGTCCATACGTTGTATACACGAATGCCTGCCAATTTGTCCACCTCAGTGGCACAGTTGTTACAGTGCTCTACCTTTGTTGCTAAACTCATAGTGTTAATACTGGACGTAGCGGGCGCATCCATTGCAGTGGAGGTGCAATACGAGGGGTCCGTGCACATTGTGATTTCAGTACACTTTACAGAGCACCAGATGGTCAGCATTTCCGGAGTTCTTCCCTCAGAATCATGTCGTGGATCGGCTCGTAAGGCCCGAGATATTATTCATGGCCGTCTATTTAATGAAATCACTCTTATAAATTTTCATTGAAGCTCGAACTGTTGCTAACCAACACCATTGATATTTGCAAAATAAAGTGTGTAAAAGTCACGATAAAGATGTTTGGCCTCGGATCCTTTTGCTTTCTTACTTTTTAACCAGTCCAGAACTTCTATGTAAAGGTGTAAGCTAAGGAATATGGAATACCTAATCGGTGTTGCAGTGTACAATCCATTACCTGAAGTAGCATAGACTCAGGGTCGTTCATGTAAGCGGGGTCGAACATGGCCATGGGCACGAAGATGCTTCGAGAGTCCCTGTCGAATTTAGGCACCGTGTCGAAGACCGAGCCTCTCCACTTGGTCACCGTAGGATCGCGACGCATTTTGATTCTTGCAAGGCGTCGTTCCATCAGCTGCCTAGCTAGGCTCCTGTAGCATGTGGCAATTCAGTAACAATGTTTACACTCGTTTGTGACGTATTCTTGAAAAGTATTTCATCCAGCATTCCCGATGAAGAATGAATGGTGACAATTACTCATCTCTTTTACCAGCGCTTACAACCTTTTACGTATCACTGAAGTTGCGTCGTTATTTGTAGCATACGTGTGCAAAATTTTCTGCGAATAAAGATTATCGTTGGGCAACGAGCAGAGCAATAGCGCCCGAAACACGGTGCAACAATATAAATGTGGCCCGGGACCGTCACAGGCAACGGGATCAACGATAACGCTGTATGTGTAGACTATGATTACCATTGTTAGATAGCTTGTACAAATTTGACATTTGTTCGATGCCTTTTTAATGACTTATTCTGTAGCATGACGCATCTTAAGACGGCTAAATAAATTAATGCAGGCAGTAATTAGGAGGGTTAATTAAATATCTTCATAAATAGTGGAGTTAGGCCCTTTTCTCAAACTATAAAATTGCAGTCCTTCATGCGAAGAACCCTTACAGCTTCGTTATTTTAAAAAATTGGCCTCCGGTAATAAATGGGAAGTAATGCAAATCACCCAACAAACTAAAACGCGAAAGAATACAATTGCCATATTCTTCTGAGATGTCCAGAATGAGTGAACTTCATTATATAGAACATCAACAGGCTTCGTTATGCAAATGTGTGAGTTTGGTTTGCAATTACAGCATGCCTGGCGCGCATACGTTTACAATCGTGAAACAGCAACCCATGCGCAATTCTTTCCTTAAACAGCGACGTCAGTCTATAGTCTGATCATTGGTGCTTCGGTTTTGGTTTCGCCATCAGTTTGGTTGACTTTCATTGCACTAGAACAATTACTAGGAGCCACTTTTTTTATTATCAAGGCTACGATGGGCTCCTATCATGAGCAACTTCAATTCTTCCATTAGAAGTAACCATTTAACTCCATTATTAAAAGGCTGAAATCATTACCTATCTTAAGTACTTTCCAAATAATGTCTTTTGTCATCTTAGAATGTACAAGGCTACACAAAAAGTAACTGTTGAGGCACCTAGCATATGTCGCGTTTTCCGCATTTTTGAGAACTTTCGATACATTTCTTGAAACACCTTTGGCAAGCACAGTGAATTGCAACGACAAGCATGTCTCTGTACTCGTCCAGTGTGCATCATGAGCCTGCTGTTAGACCTCTTAATAACTGGCGCTCACTTGACGCTGAATATTGACCACTTCTCATCGGCACCACAAGGATATAGCGCCGATTCCGGTTTTCCTCATCATTGGTGCGCTTCGGAAAAGGGTGCTATTTTCTGCCTCCCATCGCGGGGGCACGTCTCTCACCGCCTCTTGTAGTGGCTTTCTGTGCCTTCTCAGTGTAAACACGACCGCTCCTATGATAACGCTATAGCATGTCGCCCGTACTGTCTCTCATCACAAGCAGGGACACATTTCTTTTTGGCCAGAGGTCTCAAACACATGGTCCACGGAAATATCGCAGTGGCTCTGATTTCACTTGCCGCCCGCTATATACTTCACAAAGAATAAAATTTTTGTTACTTGGCTATATAGTATTGGCATTATTTACTCACCTTGTCTTTCTTTAATGTGAGCTACACATACGCTACTGATGTCAAGCATTTTTTCGTAAGGCGCCCCATGTGGTCACTCTTAGTTGAAGCCGAACCATGAAATGAAATCTTTATATTTCACAAACAGTGCCTAGATTGCAGTCATTACGGCGATTAGTATCTAAATGCTGATCTGATTGTTGATGTCAAGCGCTCTTCAGAAAATATCTGTATTATAGATATGAGAATTGCGCTCATTCAGACGGTAGTTTTAAGTGATAGTTTATTAAACCCCGTCCCCGTGCACCCTCTTTCGTCACTTCGACCTTCTCACTAGCCGTGCCCTTGCTGGACTAAATTTAGTGACAGCACCCCGCTAGCTAAAGGGAGCCTGAGACTCCACTCTAGGCGAAAGATGCTACAACTGCATACAATATATTTGTGAGTCACCAACCACAAATAAATCATCTGAAAAAAGTGCAGCCGATAACGCATTCATAGTGCTAACTCATAAAGGTTTCGATCGATCACAACGCAAGAAGCCAACATCGGCTCGCCTGTAGACGGTGATGACGTTTCCGGGCTGCACGTCCGGTACGAATTCGGAAGGCGAGTGCTTGTGCCCGCGTTTCGCCACGAACTTGTGGAACATCTCGATCTTGATGTGCGATAGGCGGTCCTTCAACATGAGCTTGTCGTCAATGCTCATCCAGGGAGCGCTGTTGATGGCGAGCACAAAGCTCGCCTGGATGTCGTTTAGCAAACTCCAGACCTGCACGCATAAAGAGGTGGCGAGGTTCGCAGCCATTACCCGTATTAATATCTTGAGCAAGTGTTCTCCATCACTGGAAGGTCAGCGAAGTTAGCAGACCCTGGTTTTGTATACCACAGCTATAGCAGCGTATTCCAAGAATAAATCAAAAGAACAGCTTCACGGTTGTTGAATGACAATGAATAAGAATTAAGACTTATGTAGAATATGTACAGCTAGCACTCAATTGAAGATTAGATTAAAATAAAGAACTGTATTTGCTCGCCTTGTCCTTGTTGGGCGTGTTTTGTCGCACGTCAGCGTACGCGTGCAGAAATACGGCGGGCGTGACACTCTCAAACATGCGGATGCAGCGGCGCCATCGGGGCCAGTTGAGTCGGTGAAGGCCAGTGAGCTGCTTCATCTGCAGCGAGGCCATCTCCAGTGCCTGGTCCGGCAGCAGCGGCGAGATGTGCAGCAGCGCGCGGAAGCCCAGGTAGTTAAGCACGTCCACGCCTTTGGTCACGTGGAGCACTGTTCGAAGGTCACGGAAGTACGCCTCCGTCTTCACCAGAACCTTCGGTAAAGAGGCGCAAGAGCGTGGTAAAACGTGGCGCTTTACAGGTTCCAGCTCAACCTATTTGATGCAAGTGCTGAAACAGAAATCCTTGGAGTGTTCCATTCATGATGTATTCATTTATAATTACCGATGCAGTGATCCTAGCAAATGTCCGATGGAAAGGAGCACCTAGCTACCAGACGCCTTCACAAGAATAGGGGTTCCAAGGTTGGATAACTTCCACATGCCCTTCCTTTACAACTGTTTCATTTGCGGAAACTCCATACTTTAACCTACGTCACATTCCTTTCAGTGTATCATGGGTATGGGGGGGGGGGGGGGGGTTCCATCGGTCCTGTCCGGTCATTGTTAATAGAGTGGAATATGTTATGTTTCTGACGCCAATACATATACCAAAGGCTTTTGGTGTTCCATTGCTGGTATAGTCCACTTCCAATTTTTACTCCCGGAAAGTCACGACCCAAGGTAGAACATTGTGAGAAGTGTGTCACTACTTCAATTTCAATTTTTCCTCCATTGCGAAGCACGTTGTACTTAGGACTCGACCAATGAGAGGAGAGGTGTCTGTGCCCCGTCCCCATATTTGGGAACACTGCGTACGCCTATATGCACCGACTAAGTATTGGTAAACAACAAGCCTCACCTCTCTCCGAAAAGTTTTTGGCTACGGATCTGCCCCCTAAACTTTAAAATTTATTGTCAAGGTGCCGATTAAGTTCAGATATAGTGAAGTGGTTCGGTGCTTGTGGATATAAACGGCGGGGAACAAAAAAAATACTCGGCTGTTTTCTGGCTCCGCATTGTAGCTATAGTTTTGCAGTGCAAAGTTTCTTTGCAGCGCAAAAAACCTCTCAGTTCCCACCTTCACCACAGGAAAGCCACCGACCAAAGAAAAAGCGAATCGAGAGCCCCGCAATCGCTTCATGTCCAGGTTAAAATCTATTGCAAAGTGTTGTTGTTGTTTTTACTCGATGAGCGGGTTGTCAGTGAAGGAGGAGCAGGGGGGCTCAGCGTTAAATCTTTCCTACCACTAATCGTGCACCCTGATCACGCCTCTCAGGGTACAAATACAGTGTAAGATGTGTTCAGCGGCATAAGTTTCTTCTGACATCAACGGTGTTATGTCGCAACGAAAACAGCGTATCGACGTTACTAGAGCACAGTTTAATGAGCACATGGCTAGACAATGTACACAATTTTATTGGAAAACATAACACAAGTCGATTTACATAGAGTAACGCTTACCCCTGTAACTGAACAGAGACTTTTCTCAACGAATGATTACCTTCATGCGACTGTGCACGACGGTGATGTTGCTGAACAGGAATGTGAGTAGCTGTATGAGGTTAGCGTGGTGCTTGAGCTGCACCAGTTTGAAGCGGTTGGCGACGAATGCCTCGCTGCCGCGGTCGGTGGTGGCCTCTGCCAGCCGCGCGGAGAACTCACGCACCCGCCTTGCGATGTCCACGTATTTGCCGCTGGTGAACACCTTGAAGCAGCTGGTTACCGCCATGGAGTACCACTCGGGCAGCGCGCTCTCCTGGCTGCCGTACTGGCCGATCAGCACGTCCGGATCGCCAAGTGCGATGATGTACCGCTCTTCGTTCTCTGGATCAGGCTCTACCTGTCACATGACACACCGAAATCTCATGCCACTAGCACCCTAATATATATTGAAGGGTTGCTCCCCCTAACTCCTGAGGCTTCAAAAGGAAAACTCTTGAAACTTAATCTACAGATCGAAGGTTTTGTAGTAATTGAGATGGGAACTCTCCATTAAAAAGCAAGAATGAGAAGTTTGCTAAAATAATCGGCAGTTATATAAGGGGCAGGCCCCTTATAAAGGGGTGCCATAGTGCCCTCTTCTCCCGAATTTTAGACGGGAAAGGGTGTGTTACCAAGGGCAAATGATACATATTGGTCTTTTCTAAGACGTTTAACAAGGGCTGCCTCCCTCTCCAGGAAAAAAAAATTCCTGGCTGCGGGCCTGATAAGGGAACACTTTTACGTGATTACCTTTTCAACGGAAAAGTTTATGGCTTCTGCATGCACCTATTTTTCCGTTGTATGAGGGCTTGTGCGTGTGCTTCGGCCACAATATATTCGCAAAGCTATCTCATGCCCGGTGAATTCAACATCGGCTGCGCGTGGCGCTTAAATTCTGTTTCACGCAGACGACTTCCAGGGGCGCGGATTCCTCGTGCACGAAGTGTTAGTTTCCTATAGCTTAGTTCGTTCACGATAATGTAATTTTAATCGAGGTTGGACGCCATTTGTAGAAAAGGCGCGTACAAGAAAGAGAGATGAAATGAGAACAGCGTTTCCCAGGCCGTCATTAGCCTTGCATAAATTAGTGATTAATTTAAAATGAACGCGTCATAGAAGCGTGTAATAGCATGCTACGTCATGTCCTAAACTTTTGCTTGTTGTGTTCTGGTTTCGTGAAGCTCTAGGGTGTCAAGCTGAGGTCATCGCTTGTGTCATCGCTTCTTCTTTTTTTCGTTCCCCACTTTTTTTGAGTGAGCTAAGTTCATTTGTCTCCAAATTTCCGTACGTGCGATGTATTTCTTTTCAGTTATATAAATAAGGTATTTCGTAGCCTTACCTAAGTGCATCATACGTTCAGCCATGCGATCTCACCTTGACGGAAACGAGAACGTCAAGGCCCAGGTTCCGCAACTAGAAGACTGGCACTCTTCCACACGTCAATGAGAGTCTTGGTGTCACGATGAAAGGGCCACCCGCGCAAACCCAGATCACCCATGAAGTCCACAAGATGCAGTTTTGTGACTCTCAGCAAAAGGCTTATGCACGCAAGCGTTGATAAGTGACTGAGCCTTGATGAGTCTGTTGTTAGGTCTTCGCTTGCGACGTCATCGCGTGATAGATGTCCTCTTCGACCTTCTGCACAAGCAGCGAGTCGACGGACGAGCCCACTTCCGGATAGAGGTTCTTCCAGTGGTTGCACACGAAGCTATAGAAGTCGTCGCATGGTGACACACTCCAGTCCAAGTAGCTGGTGAGGTACACCGATTCCCTCTCAGCACACTTTATTCTCGCAGAAGTGCCTGTTCTCGCCGCTTAACGTGACTATAGCAGCGAGTTACGGCGCTTCGCTGCCGTCGCGACGGCACGCCGACTTGTCCTACGCGTCGCTTTCTTGTGACCCATTCCTTTGGAACCGTCGGCGTCACTGCGGCGCGTAGTCGCCCGAGACCAAATCCTCTCAGTGCTCGAAGAAACTGAGTCACGCGCTTGCGCCGCTTGTGTGGTCGGGGCCATGGGCCTCGGCGTGCTTGCATTCTGGGCGCTCCCACCGGAGTTGTAGATTCTCTTGCCCTCCCACACAGCGATCTTTCTACGGCGCCGTGGCCTTTCTGTTGTAGTCCTGCTCGTTTCCTCTTCCACGACCATGGGCCCAGTCATGTGTTCTTCTAGAGCGGCGCCTTCCACTGTCTGCGTTTTTCAGAAACACGTTTGATGGTCCTTGGGCTGCAGCTGCAGCGGCAGCGTCCATGGGTGGCAGCGTTTTTCTTCTTCCTCGCTTGGACGTTCCCAGCCGCGTGGAAGACGGCCGGAGCACCCCCTTCGCCTTTCGAAAGAGCCGATATCACTTCCTTCTGTGGAAGGCCTGTGTACAAGCTCAGAGTACGAGTAAAAGAAGGCAGCCAGTCCGAACGCCGCCGCAACGGCGAACGTGGTACCGCATAGAAGTAACACACTAGTGAAAGAATGCTTTCCACCAGTCTTCGATGGATGCCCCTTCATGCAAGTACGCATGGTAACGCCTGTCATCGACATCGCTTTCCATTTCGCTTCCCGCGACGCTGTCGAAGCCGGACTCCGGATAGCTGCCGCCGATGGTGTCCGCGACACTCTCCGTCTTCTGCGCCGCCATCTCGCTGTCCTCCCAATCGGCTGTGGTGTTGCGACTGGCGTCTTCTTCAGCGTAGTAAGGCGCTGTACAGGCATCCGATGATGTTTTCGCCGAGAACTCGCCTGTGGCGACGCTTTGGCCTCCGGATTCGTACGTGTTGGTCACCCCGCAGACATAGCCGGTGGCACCAGTGGCGTACGGCCAGAATGGTAGTTTACCTTGGGCGCCACTTAGGATGTTTCGGATGTACTCAAGCTTGTGCACGTCAGGTCACCACATTGGAGGAGCCTTCGCCCGACACATCTTCATCTGTGGTCGTGGAGCGTCGAGAAACACGCCGGTGTCGTTCGTGGCGCTGATGCTGATGCGGTGGTGCCGAGGAAGTTGTGCGGCTCGAGTGGCTCGCATCGGAGCTCGTCGTGACTTCTGCAGGTGTCACGAGAATGTGCCGGCTGTGGTCATTTCGGACCCACCTGAGCATCGGAGCAAGCTCGGCTCGCCGGGGGCGGAGAATAGCCCACGGCAGTGCTCCGGGCACGCCGGTTTCGAAGAGCAATAAAAGAGGGGGCACTCACGGTGGTTCTTGCATGGTCGGAAGGCTACCACAATGCGAATTTTTTCATTGAAAAAGCAGCATTTGGCTAGCCAGCAGAAAGTACCTGCTTCTTCCTCCACTTCTTTGCACTGCCCTCTTTTGTTCGCCTAGAATGACTATGTTAATGGCATTTCAAATAAATAAATTCAAAGGAATATTTCTATAGTTTGTCGCGATGCCTATTGAACGGTATCGCTTTTTGTCCTCATAATTTGATGGCTGCAGTTTTTTTGTTGTTTTAGTGCTATTTTCCTCTGCCATGGCACATACCCAGTGGAGAGGATTGGCCGAGTCGGGTGTGAATTTGCCCAATACTTTCAGCATTGACTGCATACTAAAAGAGGTGCTTTTGCTTTTTTTTTTTTGTTCTTCGCAGGTGACTCGTCGATACGAGGAACGTCTGAGGACGGTCTACGCTCGTTCAAACAGCGCCGCTGTGAGTACGGGCTTTTGAAACAGATCGCGTAATCAAGCTCGTGCTTGATATATGCATTGGGCTGTGTTGTGAAACGTCTTCTTCTTGGTAAATCCAATCTTCAGAAATCTTTGTTTCCCCTTTGTAATTGTCCAAGACGGCAAACCAAACACTCGACTCACGTTTCACTTGAGTCGTTGGTTTTCATGGCCATTGCTCGCTTCCCTGTTTGCAGCGCGAGACGGCACCTAAAGGAAAATTGCACACAAGACACTCAAAGCAGTGTTCTGTGGCGCTTCTTTTTTTCTGCGGTGGTGTCTCGTGCGATAAATATGGGAGCTAAAAACCAATCTCGCTCAACAAGATTGTAGTCTGCAACATCATTGCTCAAGTTTTCGCGACTTAGTATGCGGAAAGCGGGCCGCTGAAGTTCATTTGGAGTAGGCGTGAAGTCATGGTAGCTAATTAACATATCCGCAGGTCGCGGGTTCGAATCCCGGCTGCGGCGGCTGCATTTCCGATGGAGGCGGAAATGTTGTAGGCCTGTGTGCTCAGATTTGGGTGCACGTTAAAGAACCCCAGGTGGTCCAAATTTCCAGAGCCCTCCACTATGGCGTCTCTCATAATCATATGATGGTTTTGGGACGTTAAACCCCACATATCAATCAATCAATCAACTCAGTAACGTATGCTGTCGGGTTACCAGCTGTGTAGAATTTTGTTGGCACAAAACTTGAAAGACGACGAAAGTGCAATTTGCCGTGTCTCTTCTTTCATCTTCCTTTAAGTTTTTTCACCGATTATGTTCCTATGAACGGTAAATAATCCGTTGCACACAGCCGTCTAGGCGGCACTTCCCCGGAGCTTCACCACTACGGTACAACGTGATGCGAAGGTGCAATAATCCCGCTCTGTGCATAGCTTCTTCAAATCCAATCTAAACGTACATTTCCCTCCTGATAACTAGCTTTACACAAAACTACCACGAACTTTCCTTATTACCAACTTCCATGTTCTTTATACCTCTAGTATATGCCACACGGCATAGAAGAAAGGGCATGCATGTTTTGCGAGATTTCGTACACGTGGCGCGAATAATTTTCTGTTTGTGATTGTGTGTAGGTTTAAGGGCGTGCGCATGCCTGTGCTTGGTTCCTACATGTATATCTATTTCTGTACATTCTCTTTTTGTTTTTGTTCTTTCAGGAATGCACCAGCAAGCTGTTCCACCAGTCTGGCATCAAGAACACTCGCTAGTACCGTTTAACTTCGTGGCTTTCATGCATGCAAAAAAGTGATTGTGTTTTGTCGATTTGTCATAATTACTAATAAAAACACTTCACCATTGTCCTACTAATTCTTTTTTTCTCGTGATTATTTCTTTTTTAAAAAGTGTTACGCCATCTCCCACTAAAAGGAACCATACGGGGACGCGAAGTATTGCGTGGTGTGCACTTGTGTTTCCATTGCTGTTAATTTCTATGTTTCTGTGTATGTTTCATTTGTGTGGGCTGCTCTTTCAGTTCTCGAACGTTGTAGTTGTCTCGAATGCCTCGGTGTGCTGGCCGCAGACTCATGTTATATACTAGTTGCTTCGAGATTTGTGGCTCTGTATTTCCATTTCGTTCCCGTCGGCACAGCCTTAAGGTATTCAGCTTGATGTTTCCGTTTCGATTCGGCTGCACGTTGCCTCGCAGCTTCGAGATTCGCTTGGCGGGGTTGCCGTTTGCGTTCATTTTCGCGAGCTTGCAGTTTTTGATCCGCTTGCCTCCCACGTTTGCCGCTTAGGTTCTGCGACCCGACCCCTCTTCTGCACAGGGCGGCTGCTTAGGCTCCTTACGTTAATGTTTTCACGGCTCGCGTTGCTCTCATAGCTTGCGGTACTCATGCCTCTGCAACTGGCGCCAACGTTGACGTACACAGCGCCGTTGCGAAGCGGAACGGGAGTGAGCGTGCCGCCTTATATGAGAGAGGAGAAACGAAGCGTAGGCAGTGCTCACGCCACCTGAGCTAGAGGAGGAAGAGAGGGTAAGAGCTAGCGCATGCGCAGTGGGGGAGCGTTTGCGGGAGAGAAGGGCGGACAGAGCCCCGAGCACAAGCTGCTTTCGCATCTAAAACAGGTAGAGTGTAGTCTCTATCCGTGCAGTTTTTAATGTTTGATAATTTTTCGATGTTCCGTTTCTTAGGCAAAAAAATGAACATAAACTTCACACATATATTTGGCAGTTTATAACGCATCAGAGTCAGAATATTCAGAGTGTGTGAGGATTTTGTTTATTGTAGTCTATGAGGTCATTGTTAGTCATCATTGGGTGTTTAAGAAGGTCTTCTATGCTCAGTTATTTATTGGCCCTTATTCAGTCGCATAACTTTTTTACGTTTCTTTTCTCTCACTGTAGATCAAACTATGCAGCACAAAAAGGTAGCATTACCCTAATTATCGCCGCTGTTTTCACCCTTTCACTTCTGCTCTCTCAGGTAAGCAATGACCGAAAAGCTGACGTGGTTTAAAGTGTGTAACAGCTTGGTAGCTGCGCCCTCCTTTCCTATGACAACCAGGCTAACCTGCGCTGAATTAAGCAAACCAGAGTATTGTAAATTGAGATTAACAGGTAAGAGGAACATTTAAAGAATAGATACGCTTCTCAGAAGTTATCATCATTGCTCAAATGATACAACTTCAGTGATGCCGATTTTAGGATAACTCAAACACCAGAGATTTCTTCATCAGCATGGTGCTACAGTATCTGGTCAAGAGGTACTGAACTACTTTCTCAAGCCACAATCAGAATATTTCTGTGCATAACCTGCATAGCTGACGAACGAATGCCACAATTTCACTTGTCATTTTTTGCCAAATACGCCTAGTAACAGAGTAGTAACAAGATTTCGTCGCATGCTTCAAGCACTTACTTGCTTTTTTGTCTATATAAGTGATCTAGAAGCTACATAGTGAGGGATGATACGGATGATAGAAGATACGTAAATGCGCGTCACGAAAGGCGTCCACTCACTTCCGGCATCATTTTGCTGCACGCTAGCGTTGTTTCTGTGTATATTTAAGATGCTATGAAGCGCAGTGATGGCCCATGGAGGCAACCCATAGCAAGAAGTGCATTCAAAGCAAACGACTCTCTTGGTTTACGTCAGCTTTTGGTCAATAGCAGCTATCTGCTAAAGGATGACATCTAGCATTCGTCACTACCTCCGAAGAGAGTGAGGACGGGCTTGCGTGAGGATAGGGTAATTGAGGATATTGATCTACGCTCCGCTGCTAAAGTTTCATGGCCGTTCACAACCACAAAGTTTGCCTGAGTTGTTCGTAGAAGTGTTTGCTTTCCGTGGTGCGCTTTTAAAGCATGCGCCACAAGCGGTTCCAGGCCTTCGTGTAAGCCCTGTCCACCCACCGCGACAGACTGCCCGTTCAGATAATATTCAGCTTCATGCGCCGTCTGCAGCTTCGGAGGGGGGGGGGGTGCAGAGACGAGTGCGACGAAGCGAACGCGCGTTTTATTTCTTCTTATTTTTTTAATCGTGCAAGCTATATTTGGCGGCAACTTTTCTTGGCATTGATTGGAGCGAAAGCTCCAGAGCTAAATCGCGTGGATCCTACCGCTAGTGATTGTATTTCCACAATCGCGTCCACATTTTCAAAATAAAATATAAAAGTTCTTTCTTTATATAATGCTTGCAGCTGTTTGAGATAGGACGCAGCTCACACCGTTAAGGTATTCATATTACCCCGCCGTGGGAGTCTAGCGGCTAAGACACTCGGCTCCTGACCCGCAGGTCGCGGGATCGGATCTCGGCTGCGGCGGCTGCTATTTCCTATGGAAGTAGAAACGCCGTATGTCCATAATCTCACATTTCGGTGCACGTTAGAAATCCCATGTGGTTATCGGAGCCCTCCACTACGGTGTCTTTCATAATCGAGTGGCGGTTTTGGGGACGTTAAACCCCACATATCAATCAATGAATAATGTTCCATGTGAAGGCTTGTATAGTGAAAATTATGGGTGAGTACAAAAGTGTATCAGAGACGATTCCGACTGAATTCACATAATGCTCGCACAGTAAAGACACTCCATTGATAATATTGCCACGTTCCATTTCCCAAGTTTTTGTTATCGTTCCGAAACACCACACGATTCTCGGCGCAAACCGCGCCTGAAGGTTTCGAGAAGGTTCCGGACTGTAGTAGATCATTTCGATAAGATCACGCCCACTGTGCGAACGGTACAGATTGTTCTGGAACCTACGCCACCGCCAGCGATAACGCTAGAACATTCGACGGCAAGGGTATAAATGCCGACGCGCTTCGCCGCTTGTCAGTTGTTGATCGAAGGCTGACGCTGCGTTCGCCGCTATCAGTCCGAGACTGCTATCTGTGCAAGACTGCTGCTGTAATTAGACTTTCCCTTTACCGGGCACAGGTTCGCCCAAATAAACAGTTAAATCCCAACACGAAGTTTCCTGTCTTCGGCCACGTCACGACCCCGTGACAATATGGATTCGCCGTTTGCAGTATCAGATGACATGCTCCGTACCAAAAGGAAGCAATGCACATTATTCAAAGGCTAATCTGTATGGTATGGTGAAATGACAAAATACTGATGAAATCAGCTGGCACGTTCAATGGGCCATTCGCAATCGGTTAAAAACATTTTGTCTCACATAGAGCATAAAAAATGATGGCATTGATAACTATGCAGTGCTCAAACAGGCACATCACCAGCTAGTTGTTTTCATTTTTTTTTAGTTCAATACTACTAGCCGCTATCACTGATTCTGTTGCGAAGCACGCCTCCGATGACGTTACGAAGGGCGCCACGAATCTCACCGCTGCAACCACTGTTTCGAAAGACGGCGACGCCAACACGGTCCCGAAGGCGCCGCTGCTTCGAACTCCACCGGGAAGGTCACCAGCCGTTTGGTAGCGTATGTTTCTCAGCTCGCGACTGCTTCTGCGCAGAGCTGATAAACGAGCGGACGAGACGATGGTGAGTTAATCAAGGTTTATGTACAGCATATATACAGAGGCGTTACAAATTCGGCACTGGGGCCGACAGCTTAGAGACCCGAGGAGCCGAGCTCTCCTCTCTAACACATAGGTCTACTGCTCGCGAAGCGCCGCAGGGCTTTTTTTATATGCACCGAGTGGATTCTTTGAGTAACCAAATGTTCAACCAGAAGCGCCGCTGGTCGTGAGGTCAG